ATCCGACCAAGCCCGTATCAATCGCGAGCGAACATTTGTCATTACGTCCACGCAGAACGTTCGCATTCTTTCGCAAAATTACACAAATGCTATTAGGTATGGTTACACAAACATTGATCATGGTAGCCGTAACGCCCATCAATAACACGAGAGATTTTAGTGACCCAAGTGGAGAATAGATGTTGTCATAAGAAAAGAAACTGAAACTTTCGTAGTGATATTTTTCAAAAAATTCTACAAGCTCAGCCAGCACTACAAAAAGAGATCTGTAGAGCTGATAAATTTATATATTGTGAGAAAGACTATAATTATTGAACAAATCAATGAAGCTGTCAACGACGCAAATTCCTCGAACAAAAAATGGCAAAACTTCAGAACTCTTTGCCCATCACAGACAGATCATAGGGAGGAAAATTATTCACTTTTTTGCGCAATAATTTTGCTAAAAGCAAATCAGCTCCTATGATCGAAATGTTTTACATTTTTCAATGCCAATTCAAGAATTATCGCGAAAATCGATTCACAGTCCCCTCGCGCTCAACTTCTCGCATAACGTGACGTGCGAAAATCGCGTGTAAACTACTCCAAAAAAACATATTCTGGCCAAATGCCAAACACCATGCGACAAACAGGCTTATTAAAAATTCTGAACAAACATCTTCTTCTCGCCCCGAAACGCGCACTAGAGAGCACCTACAGCAAGGGGGTTTCGCCAAAGTGTGCATGTGCTCTCAACGATGTATTGGCGACGAAAAAACCGGAAACTCACGGTGCTCACAGGCACAGACACCAGATAAAAAGAAGAAGTGTGAGTGATTGAGAATACTTAGCACAAGCGACACTTACCCTTCTATTGACAGGCTATAGCGTTTCGTTGCCCATGGTGCGATAATCTCATCGTAGCCGAATAAACGGCCAGCCTTCTCCATATACCAACATTCGTCTCGGGACGTCGATGGTGACGCTTCTGGCGACGCCATCATCGTCGCCAAACCAGCGGGTTCAGGAACCATTTTCATCGACGCGAATCGTCTGGAATGTACCCGAAATTGCGTGGTGTGTGTGTAAGTGAAGAATGCGCCGCTCGTTCACTTATCGGTGGGCGAGAGGAGAGATGACGCTAAACTGAAAAACCCCTAAAACTGCAACGTGATCGAGAGCTGCCTATTGGGAAGCGCTGACAATGCGTCAAAGTCATTCGCCATCAACGACAGCACATGCTGCACTATGGGGTAAAGGTGGC